TAAAGGAGCAAGTTAGTAATCATGGGTGATGTGATCGATAGAGGTGGAAATGGACGGCATCCTATGGATTGATAAATTTCATCCGCAAGTGTGAAAACGTGCTTGGAGGTTTAGCGGTCAAGGAGACGCCCTAGTGCTACATGCTCGTATGAGTTCCGCAGAATGGAGGCCTCCCACATGCAGGAGCTAAATAAATTAACAGGCGCAGTCATTTATATGGGAGAAAAATGTGAATGCAAGTCGTCAGCTCTTTCTCCGACGCGAATGTTTAGGATACACATTCCACCTGGAAGGAGCACATTAATGCCGGAAACTACTTTAGGATTCCCAAGCTGCATCCTGACTTGCATGTACTTGGTGAAGCTGAGATCATGCCTGATCCAGCCGGTCTCAATAATGTCGCGATTTGTACCCTCCCACACCTGATGATCTTCGGCAGCGCATCTGGACAGCTCGACACATTCACTTCTCTAGCGACATAGACAGAATACAGAAGGCCCAGAAACCACTTCCGTTTCTTGGGGAACTTTGCCAAGCCAAGTCTTAAAGTGGCCTCTTCCTCCTCCCTCACCTCGACGCCTCCGAATGAGCAACATCGACGGATCTCGGTCAGTATAATTCACCTCTTGAAGCTAACGACGGAAAACGTGCCCAAACCACCTCGGTCGTCTTTCTTGGATAACATGAGATATCCTCGTGATGTCGCAGTCAGTGCGCAGAGACAAAGCCCATGTACTTCACTCGATAGATGGTCCTTAGGCAGAGATTGGCAAATAGTGCCAGTTTTTGCTCGTCTTCAATGCTCACAGTCGAGTATTCACAACCATAAATGAGGACTAACCGGACGAGTGACCAGTACAGGCGGATCTTCGTGGCGATGGATGTGTCGCCCCGAATCCATAGGCCCTTTCTAAGGATTGTGGAAACCCTGCGGCCAGCATCTATCCGAAAGACAATGTTGTCCTTACTCTGCCCATTGGGCAACAGCCTCGTCCCCAGGTATTTTAAACTGTTTGCTTCTTTAGGTTGACGTTTGTTAATCCCGGGGCGTGCCTTCACCTAGCTAGGGATGCAACTTAAAACACTTTGATTTTCCCAGTATCTATGGCTAAACTGATCGATTTAGTGACTTCATTCAGCCGTGACACCACAGACCGCAGACCATCAAAGCTTGTGGATACCATGGCGACACCGTCGACGCAGTCGTGAACAGTCCGTCAACGCCCCGGCGCAAATTCAACATTCCCAAACCCTTTTAGGTCCCTTTTGAAATTCTAGTCAATTTCATCTTCTTTTAATCTCCTGATAACTTGATGTATCAACTTGGAGTAAATTCTTTCGGGAAAAACCTTATCAGGCTCGCTCTGGAAGGTAATATGAATATTTCGGCTGAAATTAATCAACTTCAGCAAGATAACCGCGCAATATTCGCAGGCCACCACAAGGCAGTTCGTGCTATGCAAATTTTGCACGATTCACCATGATGAGGGCACAGGTACTAACAAAGGGCCCGGACACGTGTTTCGCTGCAAGACGAGTTCAGCTCATCAGTGCGTCGCCCAGCGCTCCCCACTTGCTTTCTAGTCACAGTGGGCGACAGAATCACACCTTGTCGAACGCTAGATCGAATGTTAAAAATTTGAGAGAGATTCTTGTGGACCAAAGCGCGCTCAACGGTGGAGGGATAGCAGACCCTGATCACGTGACGGTCTTTGCCGACATGCCATCTAGTTCTATTATCCGCCACAGGGACTCACGATGGATCGGCCCGAACACTTTGGCAAATTCAATCGAGCAGGCAGCCGTCGGGTGCTCATACCCGTGGCCAAATCCAAGAATGCGCAACAGTGTAAGTATCTGACCAAAGCATCCACGCCACCTAGAAAGCCGATCTGCTTTGGTCTCGTCAACGAGCCATGCACACTCTGAAATCGCCTGCAGAAAGACAACAGTGAAGACCTTCACAGCAACGTCGATGAGGTCGGACATGGGTATGAGTACCCTCCCCCGCACTACAGGTGGCCTTGTCGTAACTCCAAAACCAACTCTAATGCCTACCCACCCAACCCTAAAACCTTGACTTCCTAACCCCAACCGCTAACTGGAATTTGGCGCAAGACCACCTGAAATGCGGGGGTACTCATAGCCGGTATTTTTTGCATGCAATTCTTTAAGACGGGTATAAGGATGCCCGAGCCCCAATCATCAGGACTAACCTCCTCTCTACGCGCGCTCAATAAACTCACGGAGTCAGGTCGCTAATGATGACACATAAGTTGTAGATTTCAGCGGCAAGACTGTCATCTCGGGATGCCTTATTGTTGTGCAGCCTCTGTAGTGCGTCGGCGATTTCGCCCTGAGAGCGGGGGTCATATGACATCGCATAGGCTTGAGAGGGATAATACTCCGCTTCAGACTGACGACGTGATTGGTTGGTCACCGAAGTTGAGAAGGTCCTCAAAGTGCTCAGGCCAGCACTATGGCCGTCAGCACTAAAGCCACTATTCACATGGCGGATAAGCCACTCAGTGCAGAGGGCACACCACTAATTTAGTAGAGTTGTCGAGTATCAAAAACGTTCGGAGCCTGCACGATGGAGGTTGCTGTTTCAGCCCAAAATTTCTACCGGTCACCCCCAGTCCGACTTTGATGCCATTTTTCGGAGCTGGTGGAAGAAATCATCCTTACAGGACCTGGCTCGAGGCGTCTGAGCATCCAGTCACTGTGGCGCCGCACGGTAAAGTAAAGAATTTTCTCATCTGCCACATAGGCTGACGACTCCTGTGACGAGCATTTGCGACTACCCTCTACCTCGATTGGGGTCGCCAATCGAGACTCAATTTGTGAGCTCAAGACCTCGACTGTTCTCAGTTGTCCTAGTTTTGTGGCATCGAGGCATCTTGCACTGGAAATTTGGGTGCGGATGAAGGGGGAACTTTCAGGCGTGATCTGACCCATAGGCGTTAACACTTTCAGCACCACGCATCTACCTGCTATCGTGAACCCAACCGTGAAACTTTAAACTGACTAGAATGTAGTCTTTCTGAGTGGCCATACGACCATCGTTTGAAAACCAGGTCAGCAGATATTTTTGGAGGTGCTCGAAGCATGTGTTGGTGACAATGGCCCTGATCAACAAGGTTCAGCAACCCCTCTACACTGTTGCATTGAGAACAAAGCCCGTGTCCAAAAAGATGAGTCATCGGAGCCGGTCCGGCCATTCTAGTACAACAATCAGCGGATCACGGTCAGGAAGTCTTTCAGCGAACTATTACAGCTGCGATCGATCTTAGTGCGTATACGGAAACGACAGAAACGTTCGCAACGCGACCCTTCAGTCCTACGTGAGTTAGCCGGCCATTGACTGATCCCCATGCAAGTCGTGCATGGTTTGCTAGTTGCGGGAGGACGATCACAACACCGTGTTTACCAGATGACTCTCTTGGACCGCTGTGGTGAAATGGGGACTGATGTCCGAAATCCTGATTTCCTGTGGTCGAATCTGGGATTCGGACTTCACCTAGGTGGCAGATCCCCACGTTGTACTGACGACGGCTGTGCACCGTCAGTGGATACGAGGGTGCGAGAACGCTCACACACTCCAGCATCCACTGCCACGAGTTCATTTTTGGCTACGTAGTCAAGTTGGTATTACTATTCGGACTATAGCACTGGACTAGGTTTGTGGACAGCGTCGGTTCCCACAGACCGTGACACTTAAATCGCACATATTTCGTGAGATTTCTTGGAGACCTGCTTGTACTGAAGTAGATGCGAGTCCCATACAGTCTTTCAGATTATTTGTTTGAAATTGTCTCCCCTGCGGTAGCAAGCACACTTGCACGCTACAATGTCACAGCGTTGCCACTAGACTGCGCGGTATTTATTAGGCAGTTGGCGAACCAGACCTCAGCGTCCTAAAAACACTGTGGCTGCGGCCGCTTATTCACCAGATTGAGAGCCTGCTTACTTCGTAGCCAGCCTTCGCTAGATGCCGTCCCCCGTTGACGCACCAAGTAGCCAGCAGATACACTAACAAGTAAATTAGTCTTCCCATGGCGAGTCCTCCTGGATGATATTACCCCACCCCATCGTCCACACTTTTAAACAGAGTGCCTCCCTGACGCGGGCTGTTAATTCCATTGGGGATATTTGGGGTTGCCTAGATCACAAGGCCACACGACTCAGATCCCTCCCGACGTCAGCAATCCCCGCCTATGCCTAATGAAGAGAGCAAAAGCGATGACTCCAGACCATAATTGACAATGTCATCGAACGCAAGCCAAGACGATTTGAGACTGTAATCATTGAGTGTAGAGGACAAAGAAGTACTGATATTTGGGGCAGAGAGTATTCCCATCTTCCAGGATAGCACAATGTTCATTTCGGTGTGAGGCCTGTGCTGGAAACGCACGACTGTCGCAGTTTAGTCGAAAACGACGTTCCTCCACTGGTTCATTCATCGGATAACGGAGTTAAAATAGTGAATCAGCGTACACATGTTTACACTCCTCCTCCACCACCTCTCCTACACGTCGCAGGCTGGTCAGATTTGGGCCGATCGGTGGACACTCCCTCGAAGACGGTGAATTAATTAGGAAATCAACTGCCGAACGCCACGGGCGACAAGGGTAAGAGGCGGCTAAGCCAACATTTCGCAGTTGAACGCCTTATCTCCACTTGCCCCAGCCGAAAAGAATAAGAAGCAAGCGGGCTTAAACGCATTGCAAGAACCAAAAAAAAACGTTTTTCGACCGAGAAACAATCACAGTTTAGAAACGGAGGTGTTAGCAGCAAAAAGAAGAGCAGCGACGGCAACGACCCGCATAAAGTGAATGAAAGAAATCATGATAGAAGTCAGTCGAAAAGGGGAACAGAAGCCATTACATAAAAATGAAAGTGTAGAAGGAAGGGCGATGATCCGCGATGTTGGAGTAGTCTGCTTCTGAAGGTTTTTTTACCCAAAGAGGTTGGCAGTACTGGTGCGGCGGGGGTGGGAGTTACAAGAAGAACATGGAATTCTCCTGACTACTATTTACTTTGAACTTATTCTTGTCCACGAAGAGTTTTTCAGGCTGCTCACAGCCCTTCAACCAATCACGAGCGTGAAAAGCAGCCAGGTGAGAGTAGAAGGTCGGTGCCGGGTAGGAAACGCTACGACAGCAACGCTGGTAAGCGTAGCAGAGGTAATAAGTGAAAGACTGAAGGACGTCAGAACCCCAATTGCTATCATCGTAAAGAACGTGATAGTGGGCCGGCTTCGAGGTTCCCTAAGGAGTAAGAAGAAGGGAGGTAAGGGGATCATTAGAAGCAGAAGGTGACAAGTTCCTTACTGAGCATTTAAATGAAATTCGGACATCCAGCCTATACTTAGGTGCATCTGAAATGTGACACTCAGTGGTGCACATCCCAAATCCTACAGCTTAGACACTCAACTGGCAATTACAAATCCCAGTAAGACATGGAATAGGGATCTGACGATTCGACCATCGTTGCCAATGATGTCCACCGTGTGCTCCACAACAAGGTGAGGCAGGCACGGTGGCTTGAGCCTGATTTAGTTTATAGTGAGTGCAAGCTTGCGCTGCATCTACCGCACTCTCTCCTCCTCCCCCACCTGAACCCGGTGTCAAGACATAGTCAAGAAGACCGGAGGCGGGTGAGGGCGCAACTGGATGGCACGGTCGAGCCCGCACCTTGACGCTTCACTCCACACCCCCTGGTTCACACAGCAAATGAACAGGATTTTAACCAACAACAAAAGGGTGGCTGGCACGGCCGGAGCCGCACCTAGGCGTGCTGTCACACCTGGAATGGGAGTGCCATAAAAACGACATTAAGAAGGAGCCATTGCAGCCTGACTCTCGGACCACCAGCCAGCCACTCCACACCAGCATACACAACACTGGGCCGACTGCGAGGTCCAAGTTATGCCGTCCGTTGGCAACCTTCCAAGCCACGGCTGTTAGCACACCGTTATAGCTTCAAGCGCATCAGACTGTTTACAGTGAGGAAAGTGCGCTAGGTCGTCGACCTCGCCCTATCTTCCCATTCCCAGGCCCTAGTCACTGTCCGAGTCGGTCAGCCGACAGATGCGGAGAATGGGCGCGGTGGCTGACATATCTAGTGACATTGTCTGCGCACCCCACATGCACGACCTGGCTCCCCAAACACAAGCACCACGATTTCACACAACGGGGGTTGAGCGGCGTACATCTCACATGCGTGAGAGTGCCTTAGGTCACGTTGAGAAGGAGCCGTTTCAGCCTGGCTCTCGGCCCACCAGTCCGCCACTCCACACAAACACACACACACACACACACACAACTGGACAGACTTGTGCAAAAATCCCGGAAGAGCGAGTGTTCCCGTGTCCTAATCCTAACACTACCACCCCAAACCTGGCCCTAATCCTAGCTCAACCTGACGCTGGCTTTAACCCCAACCCTAACCTTAACACTAGCACTAACCTCCCTGGAAATTAACGTAAGGCCCCCAATAGGGGGGCGGGGATCCCCATCTCTTGTCCTGACGCTGGGCACTCCGACCACCTGTGCCAGCTTAGAAGACAAACTACAGTCTTTCTGGCACTCACAGAAGGCTTTCGTGGGTAGGCACTCCCTCTTGGAGGAAACACCCCTCTTTCTAACTCCACTGCTTCAGTTTCCGTTCAGCACGACCCAGCCAGCGTGGGGTCCCAGCGGGCAGATTATGTCTCCTCCAACATACTGACTGAAGAAGTCTTGTGCACAAAGCCAGGCAAAGCGGGCTTTCCAGCTTGATCATGAGTGGACATTCGGTAGCCAGTCACGGGCTACCTGCAGAACATTTTCAAGACTAGACAGGACAGACACTGTAGTCAACCAGTTCAACTGGTTTCTTTTTTTATTTGGCAAGACGTTTACACCTTCGAAATCACAAGTCACCCATTGCCCCAAACTACATCGACAGGGCCTGCACAAGTCCACGGCGTTTATTTAGATTGTTGAAAAAAAGTCTGTTGAAATTGCACAACTGTACTTTACGAAGTTATCGAACTCTAACTAGGAAACACGATTGGAAAATGATCCTACGTTCCCCTTCAAAGGCCTTATGGAGTGCGTTAAAGCACAAAACCAAAAGCCAGAGGGTATCAATGGGGATTAGGGGAAATCTAGGGAGATGACAAAATCCAAAAAGTGGAAAAACGCAAACAAGTTGTGGGAAGTATCAATTAGATCGACAGCACGTTCGCGTACGATGGTTCGGTCATGTACTCCGTCGACGCTAAGTGCAGCTCAGCTGTCATCATTGCAAATCCGTCTGAACTGGGTGGACGTCCTGAGGGCTAGACGAGGGAATTGATGGGCGCGGTTAAGTCCGACCTGGAGGGAAACTTGTACAGTACGGACTTCAAGAATAGAACCCCAGCTGGAAGACGGCAGCTGCCGGTCCAGACAACGAATGCAGATCATGGGTCGCACCCGGTCCACGATGCCGTGCACTCGAAAACTGGCGAAGATGGTCCGATATTAAGACAAGATGAAGAAGATGCTAGGGTAGGTGACACTACTGAGTGAACTATTTCCGCAACTCTGTCACCACAGCCCTATGCTACAGTAAATCTGGGGACTCACCGACATTGCGTGTGACTTCTCACACTTTTCGACTTAGCGAACCAATAAGAACTGAAACGAAATCAACCGCCACACTCGATGGCGGCACACGCCAAGCAAAAAAAGAAGACAGGAGCACCGAAACGAGAACAAAATAGGGAGCTAACCTGAATACCCTCTTGGGAACACAAAAAGAAGTCAAATTCGGACGCATGCGTCACCTCCCTGTCAACCACAGTTCCAGGATCGACATTACGGGCACTAGAAAAAAAAAGGCGGGAAAGCAAGTGCCTAGAAAGCCGAAAGTTGAATGCATTACCTAGGATCCATAGGCTTAAAGCGGATATGATGACGCTTCTGGACGACGATAAAGGTGATGGCCGGCTCGTAATCCGGTCTGAGGAGGCGGCAGGCACGTTGGATCGCGCGTAACTCTTCATGCCATACCGTCTGGAACTCTCCCTCTGAAACTCCGTCACGGTAGAACATTATTTTCTTGGGGAGTTCTTTATTCCTCTGACCAAAAGCCTACAGTCAGAGAGCACGGTACGGAACAAAAGTGAGGATGGGAAGAGGGTGAAAAGTTGAAAATAAACAAATACATTGGCGTTTGAACTGACAGGCTTATGAAAAAACACTGACGGCTGTAATGGGTTCATGTTAAACAGACCAATGCCCAAAGATTAATCGGAGGTTAAACAGGGTTGCGCTTAGGCGCGAATATCACTGTTAGGCAGATCTACCCCATCCACAGGTAAGACCAGAAAGGTAGACTGTCTTCCGGTTTACAATGGACACCTGTTGTTTCAACGACCACTACCGCCAGAACACCTACGACCGCTCATCTATCCTGCTGAATCAGACTGGCGCTCACAACTGTCCACTGACTGTTATTAAGAAAACAACTTGACGGTCCTAGGATGGGTAGGCAGAATTTGTGTAGATGTTAACACCTTCAGGAAATGCACGAAAAAATATCCACCCCAATTTCTTCACGCAACCGTTACATAGACTTGCCTCCCCCCTATCTGGTTTTGAGAACCTACGCTTCCGCAGTAAATGAAGTCGCGAAACAGTCGGGTTCGCCAATTATTGCCACGATCAACGTAGATGGGGACGACGACACAGCCCAGGGTGGAACGGCTGCACGATTCACCCCCACAAGGAGCATTGGCGAACTGCGCATCGGGCAACATGCGCAATGCAATGAGAGCTGGACAGAGGACTCTTTAGTCTCTGAGGCTGGGTAGCCGAAATCCGCACCCGAAACGTCAGAATCAAAATATACCCCTTCCTTTGAAATGCCACTTGGGAATCGCATTTTCCCTACCATGGATATCCACTTCTCCCTAAAAAAAAGTGTATACTGGGCAGGATGTAGTATTAAACGCATGAGAATTAACGAAACAGCATGGGCGGAGATAGGAGGTCAATTGAAAGCAAAAAAACGTACCTTCAAAAGGTCAGTTATGATGGACTCCATATCAACAATGACCTCTTGCCTAGTCTTGTCTCCAGGGTTGGTAGTATTCTGTTGCCTTATCACAGCCGCGTACTGCATGAGGTCTGGCGTAAGACTACCAATGACGGCGGCAACAGACTTTTGTAACTCATCGCCCTGAGTGCGGTCAGGGTGGGTGACATCGGCAACAGACTTTTGTAACTTATCGCCCCGAGTGCGGCGAGGGTGGGTGACATCGGCACCCAGAACCATGAGAAGGTCGTCATTCCTTCTCAAATCCTTGACGATCCAGTTGACTCCGCCCAGTTTTCCATTAATTTTCAGCAGGAGGTTGGCTAACAGGAAAAAGCACGTTTGAAACCGAAGACGGAATAAGTCCAAAAGTGAAATGCGACGAGACACAAAAAACTAGTAAAAGGGCTCTCAGGAATACTCTTGACAGGCCAGAATTCCCAAAATCCAAATTCGGATGAGAACTTACGAAAGACGTTCCGTTTACGCAAAGTTTGGCATTTCACACATTGGGTCTTAAGCCCGACCTCTAGATCACCAAGACGCTTTATTTCGGAGTAGTATTTGTCGTCATAAAGGATAAAAACTGCCAGTTGGATGCCCTAAAAAGCAAGAAGACAAGCAAGGAACAATTAAAATTGCCTATCACGTTTTCAGTAGGGGTTACACTAATGAACATTGACTGCGATATGGGAGAGTGAATTTACACTCCCGCAGAGACGGCGGGTGTGGCGTTAAATGTTGCTAGAGTATGCATGTGTGTCTTGATGTATTTGAAAGACACACAGCCTTCAGTGATGGTCTGCGGCTCCGTAACAAGTCTGAGTTGTGAGTATTTCCTAAAGATAACTCAAAAATTCTAGTAGTACGCAGCAAAACTGAAGTAGTTAATTTTAATAAATTTGAAGGGGTTGCAAACTCCACAAACGCAAACTACTGGCATCACCCATTCGACATGGCCGGCGTACAATAAGTCAACACTCACTCACAGATTGCAGTTTTGGAAGACAAAACGTCAATACTCTCAGTCTGCGACGTCCGAAATTCATACACAAGCCTGAAAGTCGGCTTTTCAAAATCGTCAACACCGAATTTTTATCGTTACTCTTACGACTCACAGGGTTTGCTGGTTTCGGCATCAGGCATCACTTTGCTACTGTGAGCCCAACTACGAAACCTTGAACCGATCAGAAAGCGATCAATCCAATAGACAGCAAATGGCCGGGTCCGGTCGGCGAAATTCGAGATTACTTCACCAATGTGACATCCAGAACAACATGTAAAGCGTCCGACAAGGTAGCCAACAATTAACAGGTCAGTGTAAAGTGGCCCTTCGGTCGAGTTGCAGCCGCAAGCAGAACGCGTCTTTATCGCGCTGGACATCAGCTGATGTTGGCGCGACGACGGAAGCGACACATATGTTAACAAGCCAGCTGGTCATTGGTTCCTGCGCAGGCAACACGTACCTGTCCCGAGGAAGCGGTCTTTGAGTCATGTCCACCAGTAGAGTCGGATGAGTCGCTGTGAAAGACGGTGAGGCTGAAGTTTATCCCTGTGATCCTGATTTTCGAGGGTCATTGTCTGGGATCCTGACTTGAGACAGGCCGTAGATCCAGCGTTGTACTGATGACGATTGCACGCCGTCGAAATTTGAGTGCCAGGGCCAATGGACATTCCCACATCCAATGGTGTGGTATCAAGTGGCTACCCTTAAATGAGTAGTTAGGCTCACATATTATTCGCCCGAACTGTGTCGATCCCCGGGGAAGCTGTACCCTGGATCGTAATACTGAATTCAGATTCTGAAGGGTTCTCGAGAATTTTCAACACATTGCCCACAAAGCAGCGGAAAATCCGATGATGGTACTGAGAGTACCCTCGAGCCCTTAATAAATAGGTGTTTCTGATGTCTGACAGTTGCCCTTCACAGAACAAAAACGCCTGACGGGACACACACACAAACTACTAATTTGAAGCTTTGTTGGAAGTCTGCCCGAAATTAAAAATTTAAAAGAAACCTGGTGACATAGATGTCCCAACATTAATCGCAAACTCTAAGTTCCATGGTGTGGCCGAGCAATATTTGAGCTGGATCGAGCGATTTAAGGACGGACCGCTGGTGTTCGACGCCGATATGTGCGATCGTTTCTCGAGTTCCATATTCAAAACCTGACAATACTCAGTCCTCGCTAGCGCAATGTTGGTATTCATGGTCTGTCCGAATACTAAACATGGCTCTTCATGCAAACACCTAAAAGGACCTCTCAAGTAGGAGCAATATTAAGTTGGATCCACTTTAGACCGACTATTGTTAGACAAACTTGTGGAAAAAACACCGCTTAAGTAGTTTTTCCTAAGTAAATGAGCGGCACACTGATGGATGAGCGGATTCATAATCTAGAGCTAGGCTGCCAGTGTTTAAGTTAACTTGAGCGTATGCCACACGTGCCTCATGGCCTCAAATTCACCGGTTAAATAATTTCCATCAGAAAACACGCGAAAGGATATCAGTTAATAGCACACCGGTGTGCCTCATACTGACAGCCTGGGCAGCTTGGACGTGCTGCTGACTGGGCAAGAATGCGTGAACGGCTGGACACTAGTCAGTACTTTAAAAAGTAGGAAGGTTTGGACAAGAAAACAAGTACCTCCCAGCACTGCAGGTGGGTTTACGCTAAATTCCAGGAGAGGCGTACCTATCCCAATGTCTTAACTTTAACCACAACCCCAGAACTAACCCTGCTATTCCTAACCCCCGCGGAATTTAGCGCGAGGGCACGAACGAGGTACTTATATTCGCGTCCTACCGTAGAACGATAAGTACGGACAGAAATAGTGGTTATATAAAAATCACTCATTACGAATGAGATTCGAAAGGGAAAGGGACCGCGTTTTGACACTGTCCAACAAAGCTAAGATCACCTTCTTTTAAGGTTTCTACACTTACGGAGAGTCATGTTCTGGTCTACTACATGGCATTCTGGTTTTTCGTCTTCCTGATGCCCGCAGTCTCGTGGCCAAGCTCGCTCACTCCGTCAGCCATGCACAGATAAGCAAACGGGGATTGCCGCTGCGCATGTTTATCAGGCGCGTAGAAAACATGCTAAAGTATGCTATAGGTTCTCGCGAAATACATTTCGAGCTACCACGACGTCAATGACTTTGTCAAGACAGTCTACACGATAAATGTACTCTGAACATCTATGGTCTAAATCGTACCTTTTGCATAAAAATACAAAAAATGTCGCAGAGAACGAGAATGACAGACTGACCTGGGGCATGAATTTACTAAAGACATTTCGCAATTCCGCAAAGGTTGCCCGTAGTATGAGCGGTTTAGGATCAAACTCGACACCGACCTCTTTACCGCAACTAGGTAGTTTATCAGCCACCGTCCTCAAGTCTCTCGTCGCAGACTAAAATGTTGTGGGAAAGAAGCAGATTAAGATGAGGTTGAAAAAAACTATAGGACCAGATCATAGCTTAAGTCTGTGGAAAGTGCATGTAAATAATGGTGCCTCATGGTGATAAACAATGGCACAAGGAAGCGACGGTTACAGATGGGATGGGTCTTGAGCGCATCAAAAAACCTGTCTGTTCAAAGCACTGTCTTGCCGGCTGCTCACAAGAACCCCAGGGATATAAAATGCCGGCCTTGTGCAGTAGTTCTCACCACAAGACATTCCGACTGTCTACGATCAGTGAGTCGGAATCTGCGGGGGATCAATCCTACTCCGCGGTTTTAACCTACAAGAGCAGTCCCCTGCCTTCCTTATGGTGGGGACCAAGAGTACGATCTTGATCAACGGGATGAAACGGTTCAGTATACGAGACAATGAATTTCCGCACAGTCTGCCGTTCCATTCCTGCGGGCACGTGTGATCTCATAGCGAGATATGGCAGACAAACGGCCAATTGTGTGCGGGTTTATAGGTTACAACTTCCTCTAAGGTCGCGAAAAGTTCCCTTCGTGCACAGCTGAGACCAACTAATACCTCCGAGGAATTGTGAGCTCAGCTAGCTGGTCTCATATCATGAATGGCCAGCCCCACCGCTGGTCAGAGAGGTCCTCTGTTAGTGGGAGTGAAATAAGCCCGTCAAATAAAGGAATGGACAGATCTGGCGGACTCAGAAGTAGACGTGATGGACTCAAAAGCCTGTAGTGCTCAAGAACGGGACGCAGCGGTGAGTATCCAGCTGCTTATGATGGCGCGTGAGCCGTGCCGTTCCGTGATGGTGATGACAACCAAGCTAGTCCTAGTTACAATGACTACATGCATGCAAATGTTGGTAAATGCGGTCTGAATAAGGTATTTCTTGCGAATCGTGAGCCCTCACTTTCCTAAACCACGCAAATATGAACACGAAGAAATAGCAAGTTTGCAGAACAGTGGATTAAATGGGGGGGAGGATAGTAGCCATTTGGGCAGCCTTAGGAACGTAGACAAATAAAAGAATCCGGGGGAATTGAGACTTACATCGTCAGGCGGTACGGCAACAATAGCCCACTTGATAGGCATGCTAGGACTAGAGAAAAAACGTTGGGTATTCCATTTGCCGCGTCCCAACTCCATCTGGCCGTCGGCGAACTGGGCCTGTGGCTGTGGCAGTACACGCGCCGGGACCTTAACAGGTGTCAGTGGATTGGTATTCAATTGAAATAGCTCTTTCAGTTCCTTTTGCCTGAGACAGTGTGGAAGAGAAGAAAGACAAGTCACTAAATGGCAACAGCCGCAGACGGGTGGTCTGGGAGGGAGCAAACACAAGAACACAATGGCAAATTACTTCTTAACAAATTCAGCAACATAAGAATTGAGTAGATTGAACCGATCCTTCGGCTGGACGGCGGCACATTTTATGATCTCGCGGACGATATCACCTTCGCCGGCATTGGGTTTTTGATAGGGCAGAACCGTGAGCAATTCCATCGGCAGGAACACTGCCCTGTCCCTTTTCGTCTATGTGGTGTTCAGTGGAGATGAGAAGGGAAGAAGAACAAACCTTTACACATGGTAGCTCGGGATACTTTAGAAGGATATTATACTTCTCCAGAAAGTAGGCCGCAACAGAAACTCCTCTTTCTTGAATAATTTCCCCGTCTGCAGAATTTTTTGATAGACCATGTAGCGTAACGCGGCGCTTCCAAGTAGTACCTGTCGTTAAAAACGAAATTCGTTAATGCGCAAGGTAGACGAGGCAACAGACGGAAAGCGGCTGACGAGATATTTGATGAAGTGGGCTAATGGGAGATAAGATTGACGAAGTAAGGCACAAGCAAGGAACTCCGACGACATAAATAGTAAAAGGGTTTGCTTAGTTACAACCCAAGCAGTAAAACGGTAAAACTGAAAAGCAGACAGTAAAAAAATTGCACAAGGTAAACACACGTCAGTCGGGCCTATAAAGCCCAGATCCGACAGCGTCATTGTCGCAGAGGCCACATGAAAGAGTAGGGTCTTGAAACGAACCCGAGCTTAACCGTGTCCGATGCTCCATACCGAAAGGTCTGGTTGATCATACCGCTGTGTACAGTGTTGAACAGACTCCTTAGTTGTTGCATGAGTGGACTTCGACAGCAAATGTAGTACTTTATTGTACTACCTGATAATTGTATTAAGTAAACGCATTGCCCGTTTAGTCATTTATTTGTTGGGCAGTCGTGCAAATAGCGTGGTGGCAAAATATCGAGCTGGTATCTCAGAAAATCACCGCCGTGCTCTGACGGTGGGGGTCGCGAACAGGCGATCACTTATCAGATCTCCGGCCATCATAAGAACTGAGTCATTACCGTTTATGACCTGAACAGTGAAGGCTAGAAGAGTGTCGTCTCGGAAAACTGGAAGCCGAGTACGACAGAAGATTTTGACATCAGTGAATAATCAGAGCCCGTTCCATGTGACTGTGATTTGGTCCGATTTGTCGGCAGACGTCGCTCTAAAGACCGTCTTCTTTCTCGATTGAGAAGAAACAGTGTGACAGAAGATCTCAGGGACGCGTGTTACACACCCTCACCTGCCCAGCTTATTCGAAAAATATGAGTATACAGAGCGATCCGCCAAGCTGACGATTGGGGGGGGGGCAGTTTCGCCTTGGGCCGGATGAATTAATTGTAATTCAGATCGAAAGGCTTCCCTTTTGGGCAACATAAAAAACTCCACGCTATCGAAAACCACGCCTCGCTACTAGCTGAATACAAGTGGACGCGGAAATATGAACCCTCGTACTATAGGCGGCCTTATGCTAAATTCAAGGGAGGCACCTATTCCTGTGTCCTAACTTTAACTCCAACCCCCCCCCTTGGAATGTGGCGTAAAGCCACCTATGGTACGCGGGTCCATATTTAAGTGTTCTGCAGCTTAACGCGATTAGCGGCATGGAGAGATCACAGCTCGACCTTCATTTCGTTTAAATCAGTTTCTCATTAAATGCGGCAGCAACTTGGAGTTGTGGATGCTGTGAGCAAACTTCAGATAGAAAAAGGCGCAAATGAGCGGAACCTCGGCGGAGCACCTACCATTATCATTCCTATAGTGGCCGGCCTCACAACGAATGCCCTGAATGTCCCTGGCCATGGCCTCCCACCAGCTCCGATCATACATCCTGTCCCCGTAGCTATCATAGAGAATGTCGGCTAAGTTCCCCGACGGGAAGAAAGCCTTGTGGACCTGAGAATTTGTGAAAAAAAGAACAAGGAAAAAAGGCGGTTGATGGCCTTAGAGGACAAAATACAGCATCCGTATTCAGACGCTTACTGAACACGGGAGGGAAAGGTTTAATAAGTAGAGGAACTCGTGAAACTGGCAACCGAAATTCAGATGCCTAGTAAGGGATACACCTGGTGTCATTAAATTTACGTGGCAGCCTAACAAGATGCGCGACTTTCCTCTTTGCTGTGCAGGGGTATGTCACTCAGTAATGTTAAGGACAAAAACAGGACACATGTTGGTTTAAAAGGTGAACTTCCTAATATTCAGAAGGCAAAAGACGTAGGACAATTTGGTTAGAAGGGAAATTCCGGGACCTCTTTTGCCGACGAAACCATATTCTGTCCGAACGGAATGGTCAAAACGTTCAACTTTGGTGATATCTAGCGGACGAGGTTTTGTAGGCGGTCTCTGGGCGATCCATCAGAAAAAAAGACCTGAGCTTCTGTGCCTAAGGTCAAAGCAGTTTTCTTCTGCGGCTGTTAAACTTGACCACTAGGTCCTGCCGGCCTTAAAAAGATCGAGGTGTCTAGTAATGGGCGCGTTTGGATAGTGTTACGGCTTGGACTCGCAGATCGCCTCGAACGTGGAAATTCGCTAACGCGGTCCACCACTGTCCAGAGGGCGCAGTGGCGACTTGCGTGCGAATTAGTTTGCGGCGGGTAGGGCAGAGTTACACTGAACTTGCCTTATCCACTCCTCCCATGCAGACCATGTCCCAGTGGAAAGTCAAGGTAAAAACTATTAGGAGTGGGCATGCTCACAGAAGCTGACGAGGCCAAGACAACGTCTAAGCCCACCAAACGCGTGCAGTTAGATGCGAAAAAGCACGCTGTTTTCAGGAAAAACAAGAAAACTTTTGGTCAAATGTCCTCACGAAGAAATTTCGAAGTAGGAAACTTAATAGGAAGTTTTCCATCTATCCAGAAGCACGCTGACCGCTGACCTCGATCGCATTTCCCCCTCCCCCCTGCAGCGAGGTCTTACGTTTTAGATACGCCTACTAAGGGAACCAGGTGATCATAGGGAAAAAGAGTTTCTGACAGAGAACACATTTCAAGTAAGCGTTTGACCCTCACCGTTGTGGTTAGGATCTCACTCGATCACACTCTGTCCGCCCGCCTGCTCGATACTGACGACAACGAACGTTGTGTCACAGGACACATACCACGTATAATACATACGCAGCTCACTAAGAGAGCAACAGACCAGACGCAGACAGCTGTTTCACGATCCCTACCGATCATCAGTACGTCATAGGCCATATGAAGTGAGGTATATAAACATGTCAAGTAAGCGTTTGACCCTCATTGTTGTGATTTGGATCTCACTCGATCCCATTCGTGCGCCTGCCAGTTACACACCACAGCAGCAACAACTTTCAAGAACATCGAAGTCTGACAGGTCTACATCGTCACCAAATTCCGAGAAGGGCTCAAATGGTAACTAACAAAGGGCATTCTTGATAGTATGATGGGTGGCTGAGAATTCTACGACATACACCTACGGCAAATGGATATTATTTTTCGGAATGGCGCTCCTGTCCGTCGGTTGCACAGGCATAAACGAGTAACATTCCATGCTAGACGCTACATGGTTGAAATCGAGTTCGACGACTATAAAAATTGATAGGGCATTTCAAGCCCCGATCAGCAGTGAAGGACGACACTTCAAGTCGGGCAAAAATCATGCTCCGGTGAGAACGGAAACCAGAGATCCAACTTTATGGTCGTAGGAGGTTGTTTGAAAATGAAGCCGAATAATAAAGTATTGGCAGCTCCATGACTTTCAGCATATCATAATTTCCTCAGAGAGCTTAATTATATCGTCAGGGTAGAGTTGCCTTATGGAAGAAAAGCAAAAGTAAAATCCGCAAGGAAACTTTGTTTCAATTAGATTTTTTATCTAGTTTGCGTTGATGCCATGTGGACGAGAGGCTTTGTAAGCGATTTTGAACGAATATTCCTAAAGGCCTTGGGCCTGGTATTATCTGTAATTAGCCCAAATCGACGCCGACGAGAGAACGGGACTCACCACATCAATGTTCAATCGGACTTTCCACTGCGGCCGACAGCTGACTAGGAATCCACGATGAATCACAAAAAGTCTACGTCGATCGACGACCACTGGTTCTTTGCTGTAGGCCGTCGTCCCGCCAAGCACGACATAATCTCTTTTGTTAACGTTCTTGATTATGCAAGTAAGCATATTGACTGAGTCCTAAAGTTTTAGAGGGGTGTCAAAGACAAAGCAAGACTTGCCTGTGGTAGCTTGAAAGTGCAGGAGTTCTTGTCGTCTACGTAGTCTTGTAAGTCACGCGCTGAAACCCTGCCGACTTGCATGATGGTATACTTTAGGACAAGTTCGCCCCTTTCTAGCGGATCTGGGACGGAGACTTCCACTGTGGACTTCTGTTCACTGACGTTCGGCAGAGGTTTTACCGAGTAAATAATGCGGCCGCCATCATAGAAGGCAGTGCTTGGCAACCTGAAGGACACATGAAGGATTTCAGAGCAAAACTACGCCGCTGGCCACCCCAGTGGTTCGTATAAAGGACAGGACAGTGAAACAAAGGCAAACCAGAAGTGACAGGTGGAAACCCAGTCACAGACGAACTAGAGCCCAACCCTAAGGCCATATAAGACGCGTCGAGAGTAGGTAGGCGATAAGCGTTCGCAGTATCAAGCAGCACCCTTGTCAAAACCAATTCTGATGATCTGCAAAGATTCGTCCTGATGAATAGCGGTCGAAGCAGCAGCAGCACAGAGGATAACAGTCTGAACTGAACTACAAGCCCCAAGGCATCGGGACGGACGTCTCCAACAAATCCAAATAACTGAAGACAGCTGCATGCGGCTTATTGGGGCAACGTTATATCAGCCCTAAGGTGCATAACTGATTAGTCATAGACAACAAAAAGGAAGAATGGAAGTGTGCACAGCAAGTTTTATTATCTCTAGCGGAAGACCCACAGAATTAATTGCCACCTGCGCCAGTGTGGCCAACGGGTTGGAGCCGGTCCGTGCTTTTTTGACAAAGAACACATCCACATTCACTCTCGCCCACAGTTTCGGCGTCCGGCATTACATGAGAGTTTAGTACTGAGGTAACATAATATTTTCGGAAACGCATGCGTACAGTCTGATTCTGACTGTGGTTATCCTCCGAGCGCGAGGCAACCCACAGTCCCATGAGTTGCCGTGAGTACTTTTTAACTACCGAGCGGCCAAACATCGCAAAATTAGCAGGTCTTCCACCACTCTCGCCAGTTTCTCACCACGCAAAGGGAATGGGCTGATACATGTTCTGGTATTCAGATTTCCCCTAACGACGCGGTCGTACATTTGGAGATGCCTGATTATGTCTGGAACTCGCCAAGAGGGACTTCTTTTTACGTATCACCAGCATCTACCGTTGTGATTTACACAGCAACAACTGGGTCGATAACAACAGCACCACTAATGTGTACAAATAAAATTTGCAGCAACACCCGTTTTCCAGCAGACCAGTAAGGCGCCGGTCTGCTCACCCGAGACAATCGTAATATCCTGCCATTCGTAGCTGCTAATTGTACTGTCCTTAAAGACGGGAGCATTGCCCGGCGCCAGAAACTGCAATACTGCACTAACCATGTGGCAAAGAGACCTTGAGGAAGCAGAGGTTCGCACTGCGGTGCGAACACTCGCATAACTCGATTCCGCGACGTAGGAGCAAGCGTATTTTTCACATCCCAGTGAGGCTCGATGATCAAGGAGATGGCCTCAGTTGTCAAACCCTGCACCCGAGGAATGAAAATAATTAGATATTGACTTTATGGTCCGAAAATCCGACTAGTGTGTGGATGATAAGATGGGACACTGTTATCCTGAGGAGTGAACCGCGGGATATCCACAGACAGTGCGAAAGCAATTTTCTTAAACAAATTCTCGCTTTTCTCGACGGAAGCGTTCTGATGAAAGATAGACGCACCAATTCATCCGTTAGGTTAACGCTACTACAGGGAAGAGATCTCAGGTTTCTATACTGAGACTCGTACCTTCGCCTACCTTAGTTTTTATCACCTCGCATACGTGGGTTGAAATCCCTTCCGCCGAAATAAATCTTCAAGCCACCTTTGGAACAAAGTCTGTCGACGGATAAGCCACGCTTCTGTACTTTGAGACGAGTGTAGTTTTTCCCCACTACAGCGTACAATGCTGCCTCTGCAGTCATGTCTCCAATACAACTAACCTTTTCTGTTTGAAAGCAGATCATGGCGCAGTTCGTGCAGGAACATTAAAGCCCAGTGACGTTAATAAGTATTGGGCAACATCGAAGATGGGATGCAATAAAAGGTTACCCACCGTTTTGTCACCTCCTGTAGGTGCTCATGAAGACCCTTTGAAGTAGTTTTAAGGCGAATTTTCTTTTCGCCGGAGACCAGAAATACGTCGATCGCCTCAATATCGTACATCAGGACAGATGTGTGCTTGATGGTCATGTCCCAACAATTGGCCTCGACTGTGACAGGCCTACCAAGAGTTCCGCCCGCGTCTGGGCGTTTCGGTAGGCTATCAAGTATTGGACCGGAGGATTCAAGGGTTAAGCTGCAAGAAGACGGGAGAGGAGGGGTTGAAACAATAAGAATAACAAGGGTCTTCACGTGCCCCCCTCCCTCCCCCAAAAATAGCCGTTTCAGCACATCTGCCTGACATTGAGAAAGAGGGGAAAGTTCAGCTGACAGCAGCACACGACACGAGTAAGTCGCTCTGATAATATCCTGAGATTATCTCGAATAAACACTTCTTGGAGCAAGAGCTTTATTAGCCCGACGCCTCAGATTGTCCCTCGAATCCAGCATCAGCGACAAAGTCGGATATAGTAGTGGGTCACACGGGTGCCATGCCACTGCATGGCTATCAAAAGCGGCAGCTTCCGAATGCATCGCAGAAAGTTGTAGGTAGCGCGACGATCGTCTGACTGGCCAGGTGGCGCACTATGTCCCTGCTATGCCCCTGCATGTCTGTCTAAACTATCGGCTTCCACATTCACAAGTAGGCGGGAGAGATGGGGTCGGGATGATAAAATAACAAGGGTGTTCAAGTGTTCTCAAAACCAGCATTTCCAGTGAACCCATCTTATGGAGAATAGGCGGGAAAATAGCAGTAGACTGCAGTAAATAAAATGGACAAACTTGAGATTACCCCAAATAAACACTTCTTCACTCAAAAGGACGCAAAAAGCCACAGGACTACCCATTTACAGACCACAATTAAAGCAAAAATACAAGCTGGGCAACAAAAGAGAGCAAAAGTCTTTTTAACTAAGTAGACTATTAAATGAGAGCCCTTCGTTTTTGGTGAAACTCTGTGCCTTCACGTCAAATAAACTGAAAAGACGGACGTTCAAAGACAGAAATTAAGAAGGATCGACTGTAGAAACAGTCATTTTGTTGGTCTCGGTTTTTCGAGGAGGGATCCCCCTCCCCGCCCCCGAAGACAACACCGAGAAGCAGGTTAGTACGTTCAAGGGAGGTCGTCCGCGAATCAGTGAAATTCATATTCTCTTGCCGCGAATCCCGATTCACGCTAAAGAGCCCATGACAAAGGACGCGCCCAGAGTTCTGTCACCGGATTTAATGGCAAACAGGCATGGTGGCCTCCTCGGGAGGACGAATGAACCGTTCATATAACGAAGGGACGAGAATGTCCGCACAAATTTATTCGGAACACGCCTGTCTTTTCAAGGTCTGCTTGTCAGATTACGGCTCATTCAACATTAGCGTCTCAATGTTCTTCGAACAGCCATTTCCTCGGTAACAATCGGGAGAGGGCACCCAAATATCTGTTGCCTAGAAATAATACCTGCTATACGTATTTGAGTAGGTTATGGCCCTACATATTTGTTGTTTCATCCGACCTAAATTTTGCCTGATCTGCAGTGCACATGTTGCGTCACTTAGATTATCATAGTCTCCAACAGTTGAGATGCGACCGCTGCGGACCGAGCCATGGTTAATCCGCCTAGACTTAGGCTCACACGGCTGAAGAGTGACAGCAGTAGTGGGGTTGCGGCTAAATCTACCCTTGCATACCTTAGGAGAGTTGAGAAACGATCGCTGTAGACCGACCATTGGTTTGCCATTATTCACATATGCTTGCTTAGGTCACGCGCGACGGCATTGGTCCGTTTGCGGCTTACTTTAGACCAGCATAGCTTAGGAAAGTTGGGGAATGATCGCTTTAGACTCATCCTATGTTTACCAACCTCGGCATTAGCTTCCACAGCTGAAGAGCGAGCGCAGTAGTCGATATGCGGCTTAACCTATGGTAGCATACGTTCAAACACTTGCGATACGATCGCTATGGGCCGGCCATTTGGCTTATCCATTATGACGATTTCTTCCTTAGGTGAGGAATGACCACAGTTGTAGGTATGCGGCTCAATCTATGGCACAGTACCCTTTGGACAGTTGCGAAACGATCGCCGTAGACCCACCCTACGTTAAACAACCTTACTGTAAGCTTCCACAGCTGACAAGCGACCGCAGTAGTCCCTATGCGGATTATTCTATAGTAGCTTACCTAAGGACAATTGCAATACGATCGCCGTTGACCGAACATTTGGATTATCAATTTTTACCATTACTTCCAGAGGTCAGCAGCTACCGCAGTCGCCAGTGTGGGGCTCAGTCAATGGCTGCATAGCTTAGGACATTTGTGGTAAGATCGCTGCATTGGCCGGCAGTATTTTTTTGGGTGCCCTCTCCCGATTGTTACCACTTCCGCTTCCAAATGGCCCTCAAACGTCAACTTCCCTGCCCGCAAGCAGGTGCTGATTAAAGCGTGCGCTTGTCAAAGCCAGAGTACATGGTTGTTCTTATCAAAACGCTGCGGAAAACAGAATGGTGCTGATAGCAAGACGAAAAGATTACTTCCTTCAGTATAAGAGCACAAGCGGTAGATACGTGTGTGTATCTAGACCAAGCTCCAATGGCAATAAGGTAGCCTGAAACCGCGAAAGTCACCAAACAATTGGCACGCGTTCGCAGTGTTTAAGATCGGCCAAAAGTCTTGCTGGTGGCTGGGCAGCGTGATGCACGTGTCCAAAGGCGGTTCATCATGCCGACTCGCACTCGCCTAGATCGAGGATGCGTTAGCTTGTCGGATTTACTCACCAAGGCTTGGTTGTCGGAGGTCTACGGAGAAACGTAGGCGTGCGGGACATAATGCAGAAAGTGCCACCTTGGCTCCAAACAGGACCAATTAAGCAATGATTACTGTAGAACAGTCCCTCACCCGGCTTTTTCTGATACTTCGCAACAATTCAACCGAGATTTAAATCACACAAGCAATGCTGAGATAGCGTTATCGGCAAAGACAGTGGCACTGAAATGGCTATTATCGGTTTATTTGCTGTCATCAGACAGCAACACTCCAAACCTCGAGCTACAGACCCTAGGTTCGGGTCCCCAGTCAACAGTTGATTATCCGATAAGGCTCGCGTCATATCTGGTGGGGATCAGGAGCGTTTAGTCACATTGGAGTGCCCTGTGCCAATTTATCCTGATTACAGGACAGATATGAGAATGGTGTTGAGGGTCTACAGCTCACGCGGGCGGTGGCATGGCAACAAACAGTAATCGAGAAACCTTTACCGGAATTTGATTATCGCTGACGGATAGCGGCATTTACGTCAGACAAGGTCATTCTAGTTTCATCTCTGTCATTGCTGGTAAACCCTTCATAAATACTGATAGGTGGTCCCATGCTGCCGCCCCGGCTCCATGACAAGGCTGAAATGCTCATTTTTGTCCCACAATAAGGATAGATCGATGCAGGCGACGAGGCGAACTTGTCTGCAGTTAATTTCTAGCGGCGGTGGGAAGCATAGAAGGCCCATAATCTTACAGATCTCAGCTGGGCTGAGACAGCCGGTTACCGTTGCAAAGCTTGATTGGTTGGACGAAACTCTGACAGAGAGGGATAGTGACGGTCTAAGATTTACAGTCACAACCAACCGCTCTCTTCCCCCTCACTTTTCCCTTACTCTCATTGTGGTGAGCGATGTGGTCCAAAGGCCCGATTTAAGAGTTTACATGACACCGCCTAACCTTCTTCTGCCGCACAATTCAGATAGTCGCATCGGGAAGCTGTTTGTCTGTTTTTTTTTTATAGGAAATCCTTTACAATCCTGTGTATTTTCTGACTAGAAGAACGCCTGTTCAGAGCGACCGTCCTTCATATCGAAGAAAATGTGGGTGTGACTCTTTTGTATGCGGCCGACAAACGAATGCTTACTGGGGAAACATACGTAACCCCCATGGGCGCCAGAAGAGGTTTAGTGATAAACGCGGGTGATAAGAATAGGCGACAACCTACGAAATGGCCAAACGTTTTTTCTCTGAGAAAAACTAGCAGCTCTTTCTCAACTGCTAGAAAACAAGCGTCAAGGTACTTGCAGAGCGTCGACTGGTGCAAAGTTATGCAGACTTTGTTCGACTACTGATGGAGACTTCCACACTACAATCCTCTAGTCGATTCACAGAAGTATATTTCATAATCTACTTATTGACGCAATTTTTTCTCTGTAGGCGAATGGTCTCGTTGAATTGGACAGCACAAACGCTGTTTAAAAAGTATTTGATGGAAAGTATAGTCACACAAAAATTATACATGAGAAAATAATGGCGCAAGAAAAAGTAGAGCCGGACACAGATCTTTTTCCTTGAGACACATGGCCCTTCCAAAAAGTGGAAAAATTAATGAGCCCTGGGCTAAGATACAATAAAAGAATACAATTTTTTGCAGAACAGCAATGCAATACAAACTTGCCTTCTGTCGAAAAAATCAAACTTGATGCAGTATACAAAAGGGGACACTTAACACCACCGGGCAATGAAGTTGCCAAACGAGCGTCAGGCGTCCATGAAGGCAAATTATGGGGCTGAGAAAGCAGCCTCAACTGAGGCGGTTGTCACAATAAATACCACACAAAAAGGGACCTTGAGATTTCAATAAGGCGAGTCTAGACACACTTCTAGATCCCTTACGCGCAAATACCGATCACACAGGGCTCGTCTTTCACAGCTACACAGCAAAGATGCAACACACAGACAGGAAGGAAAGGGGTTCACTAGACGTACCGGTCTTTTCCCTTCCCTTTGGCCTCACGGAACTCTCCAGCAGCAGCAGCAGCAGCAGCAGCACCAGCAACCGTAGGCGGGGTCGGCATCTGCTGCTGTTGCGGCGACGGCGGCGGTGGCAGCTGTGAAGGTTCACTCGGAGACGTACGGTGGGAAAAAATCGTCTGATAATTCTGATGTGCAGAACTAGACATGAGAAGAGTGCAAATGCAGAAAAAAAAAACAAGACTAAGCCTTCTGAGGACGTTCGAACTCTTTTTACTATTTACAAGCGGCAGTCGGCACTTCCAAACTGAACACCATGCGGCGCGTCAAGGGAAGAAACATGAACGCCAATATATATATATATATATGTGAGTTCCATTGCAGTTTCACGGCTAGAGATCTGCATCTTGTTAAGACCACAATTCGACACACTTCGATCAACTGTCTAGTACCAGTCAAGACTTACTCCAAAAAATTGACCGACTTGTTTAACATGTAGCTGACTGACAGATTACCGAGTGCCATCAACTCATCAGCACAAGGAATATGAAAAGAATTGTAAAGTTGGTTCCAGTAACCTCAAACTTTGCTGGTGTGCCCAAACGAGGAAGTACGCGATGAACTCAACCGGGCTTGGGGTTGGAATGCACATCATCACGTCCCACAGACAAACTGGTGGGGCACTAATAAACGAGTATCAGAATGCTTGTTTCAGACAGGGCTTTGTCCACATAATGCACTCTAGTGAACGTTCTTAACGTCTCGAGGAACAAGTTAGAAGTTACATCCACTCCGACTGTTTCTGCAGTCTTCACGTTCATTACAGGATGCCATCTATGAGTCCACTGCAATGCGCTCAAAGCAGACAGCCTCCACAATGTCCGACACAGTCCAGCGTATGCCCAGGTGGTCAACGGCGTACGCGCCTACAGATCTCAAACCTTCCGGTTTATTGCGCCTACTGACTACCTCATCATCTTTAATCGAGATCGCATCCACGCGGCTTCGAATGGTACCGTACATCGAAGACTGGTTTCGCGTATCAAAAGACTACTCTCTGAGGAGTGCAATGCCACTCGATGGCAACGACAGCCTCTGGAAATAACTTACCTTGATAAGGATGGTGAAGGTGTCTTGCCTATCCTGGACGATGAGGGCAGACACTTTGCCCTGCAAACAAAGAAAGGCTTCAGATTATTTTGGCTGTAACCGACAAAGAATATTACTAAGTACGATCTCGCTGCTCTGCAACCGTCGAACTCCTACAGAGCAACGATACAATGTTGTTTCACAATAACACAGTAACAACCAAAGACAAAGCGGACGTAATTCGGAATATTCTGAAAATCATATAATTAAAACTTCAAAATGTGGTCCAAGGAACAGATGTTTCGATGGCCTCTTCGCTTTTAAGGATTTTCGGATATTTTGGATGCCATCACAGTCTGGTAGAAATTCGGCGCCACTTATCCCTGGTATTTGAACAGCTACTCGGCCTAAAGTGAAAGAATACATGGGAAGTGTGGCATAAACTTAAATGCACATTGCCTAGTTCCCGGTACCAGCTATGTTTACCACATGGCCCGGAATAGAGACCAGATGATCACTTGGACAGAAAGGAAGTTGACGATATGACAAGTGAGACCCGATTCATTTGTTTGCACCCCTTCGATCTTGTACTTAGTGCGGCTGTGGTCATGCCTGATCTAGACGACCTCGATGACGTCACGTATTGTACCTCTCTACGAGTGACGATTCGCAGCAGTGCATCTGGACAGCTCATCCCATTCTTCGCGATGTCGCAGTCAGTGAGGACTGTCTCGTTTGAGACATTGTGTATGTACTGCACTCAATGGATAATCCGTAAACAGCGATGGTCAAATAATGCCAGTTTTGGCTCGTCTTCTACGCTCGCAGTAGAGTAAATGAGGACTGACCGGACGGGTGCCCAGTACAGGCGGATCTTCGTGGCGATGGATGTGTCGCGTCGAATCCATAAACATTTTCTAAGGATTCGGGAGACAATGTCATTTTTACTGTGTCCATTGGGCAGCAACCTCGACCTGAGGTACTTGAAACATTGCTCCCTTTAAGTTTACAACCATTTATCATGAGGAGTGCCTTCTCCTGGCCGAGGATGCAGCTCGAAAACAATCTGACCTTCCCGGTGTTTGTGGATAAATCAATCGAAGTGGCGACTTCATTCACCTGTGACACCACAGACTGTAGATCACCAAAGCTTGAGGCCAACCAGTTGACACCGTCGGCGTAGCCTAGATTAGTCAGCCGACGTCCGGGTGCAAACTCAACACCGTCAAAACTGTATAGGGGCCTTCCAAGAACCCAGTCGATGGCGTAGTTGAACAGAATGGGAGGAACGATGCAACCTTGTCGAACACCAGATCGGATAGAGAACGGTTGGGAGACATTGTTATGGACGAAAACTCGAGCAGAGGTGGGGCTATTGAAGACCTTGATTATGGCCATGATTTTGACTGGCATAGCATCTAGTTCAATTGTTCGCCACAGGGACACACGACGGACGAAATCGAACACAGTGGCGGAGTCAACAAAACAGATGGCCGTCCGTTGCTGGTAGCCACGACAAAATTCGACAACGCGCGTTAGTGTGAATATCTAGTCCGCGCATCCACGCCCAGCTCGGAATCCGGCTTCGTTGTACTTCGTCTACGGACTGGAATCGCCTGAGGACAAGAGGGGAGACCCTCACAGCAACATCGATGAGGCTTAGGCCGTGGCAGTTGTCGCACTTTGTCTTATTTTCCTACTTGAAGACAGGTAGAAGGATGCCGGAGTCCCAGTCACTAGGCACTACCTCGCCTCTCCACGCCTGCTCAAACCCCCACGGAGCCAGGGCGCCAGTGTTGGCACAAGACTTGAAGATGTCAGCGGGAATACCGTCCTCTACTGGCGCCTAGTGGTTGTGGAGGTTCTGTATTGCATTGGCAACTTCTCCCTCAGATGCGGGTTGCACGACACTACGTTGGCTGGGGAGAGATAAAAATCCCGTTTCGGAGGAGAGTAAGGGTGTGATAGGTTGCTCAATAAAGTTAAGGTACTCGAAGTGCTCACGCCGGTGATAGACCTTTGCCTGGTTGTCAGCACTAAAACCGCTATCTATATCATGAACAGAGTCAGAAAGTCAATAGGAGCGGAGAGACAAGTTCCAGGAAGTAAACGTGAAGAAATAGACACGATCGCTGAGGCAAGAGCTTTATTAGCCTGACGTTTCGGATTCCTGCTCGGACCCATCATCAGAGACAAAAGCAGATACGGGTGATGTTCTGACGATTTGGTCGAGCAGGAATCCGAAACGTCAGGCTAATAAAGCTCTTGTCCCAGCGATCGTGTCTCCTTCTTCAAGAGTCAGAAAGTGTCGAGAGTTTACCACCAACTTGGCGAATAATGTAGTAGTTTTCGGGCGTCACCAATGTTTAAGGTCTACTCCATGGAGGCTGCTGTTTCAGTCCAATATTTCAGCCGGTCATCCTTAGCCGACGTTGCTGTTATTCTCCGGAAGGAAGGACCGTTGCGGGACCCGGCTCGAGCCGTCTGAGCCAACAGCTGGAGGGTCTTTGCGCTGAGACAGTCAATGCGACGTCGCTAGATGAATACAAGAATCCTCTTAGTGCCCCACGCACTGACGATTTCATTAATGACCACTGGCCAGTACTTTCTCCATCGGGTCGCGTCGTAAAACGGGACCGAATATCTGTGGTCAGGGCCTCGGTAGTAATGGGTTGTTGAAGTTTTGCGACATCAAGGCGTGCCACGCGTGGCATTTTGGGTGCAGATGAGAGGTGTATTTTCAGGAGTGTGTGAACGGGAACATAGACTCATGGGCGTTACCGGTTTCGGCACCACGCATCGATCTGCTATCGTGAGCCCAGCTGCGGAACCTTGAGGCAATAAGAATATAGTCGATCTGACCGAACGTATGGCCGTCGTTTGAATACCAGGTCAGCAGATGTTTGTGGTGATGTTCGAGGCACACAAACAGTCAGTTCTGATCAATAAGATGCAGCTTCCTCCCACCAATGTTGCATCGAGAGCCAAGGTCAATGCCGACCCAGCAAGGTGACTGAAGAGTCGTCGCGTCCAGTCCGGCCATTCCTGTCCCCGGCAACAACTAGTAGATCACAGCGAGGGAGTCTTTCAACTAACTCCCGCAGATGCGAGTAGGTCTCTTTATCGCGCTGTTCGGCAGTTGATGTTGGTGCGCACACAGAGGTGACAGAGGTATTCGTAAAGTGACCCTTCAGTCGCACGTATGCCAGCCGGTCACTGACTGGTTCCCAGAAGAAGATAGTCACACCGTACCTACTAAGAGTCGCGTAGGCCGATATGGGACAGGTTGAAGTGGGATCTGACTCCTGGGGTCTTTATTTCCTTTGTGTTCGAGTCGAGAATTCTGAATTCAGACAGACAGCAGACATCCACGTTTAAATGATGAAGACCGGGCGTCATCAGGCTTTGGATGCCAGGGTCCAGAAACGTTCGGACTTCCCAGTGCCCAGTGCCAGGTGTCCGTTCCCGATTGCACAGTCCAGCTTGCATACTACTCGGCCACAGCATCGGGCCAGGGTTGCGGAGCGCGTCCGCTCCCGCGGAAGCCGTAGCGTGAATTGTAATACTGCAGTCGGACTTCTTTGTGGGGTTACTTGGGAATCTTAAGTACGGGCGGGTCTCCAAAAGCCGCACGGACTGTTTGTCCGAGGTTGTCTGCTCTAACGCTTTGGCTCATGAACCCTAGCGCACAAGGTAGTGGTGGCAAGCAAACTTATTTATTGGCGGTTCACGATCGCCATGTTACAATACCGTCATCGGGCTTTGCGGCATTTTATAAGGCAGTCAGCGTGTCAGCCCTCATCTACCGGTCCGCGACAGCTTAGTCACCAGGGTCGAGAGCCTGTTTATTTTGCCGCCTTCAGTTTCTAAACTTGATTCATTTTGACAGGGAATGAGAAAATTTGTTTGAAAAAAACAACCAACACTGGATGAACAGGAAAGCACTATAAGTGGCAAGAGAACTTATGTGGCAGGTCTGTTGCGTAAGATGAACATTAGTTGAAGTCTAATACCAGTTAATACTTGCAAGTTCCATGGGTTCAGTGCGAGTCTTTACTAGAAGATGGGGGATGTCATCAAATGAGATAACGCGATTCCCAAGCTGTTTAAAGCACCTTCACAAAATAGCTGGTGTCTACCAGACTCAGACTAACGCGGCGACAACACTCAGGGGGGTCGCTGTAGAAACTTAAACACGGCATCTCTGGAGGTAAATAGGGTAAAAGCGTTTAGGGAAGGATAAATAGATCCTGTTTCAAGCGCTCTTGTCATTTACTGTTTTATGTACAGGGAAGAGACTATGACAAACTGAATTTTCTCAATGTTGACAGGTCGCAGATGAGAAATCGTAGAGTGGACGTCATACGACTAAACTACCTTTGGGTCTTTTGTGAGCTGTTCGTGCAGACTACCTTTCAGACATTAGCAATTTTGTCTCGCAGCTTGCAACATGCATTTGCGACGGCAGATGCGAGACGTACTTATGATACTTCGTGCTGGTTTTCTGTTTGTTCGTCAACACGAAAATAATCAATCTGAAAAGAACGAAAACTGCATACAATCTTCTTCCTGATGTATCTTGCGCCTAAAAATGGACATGATGCCATTTCAATTTCAAGCTGAGTTAACTAACTGCCATTTTAAGGAAAACAAGACTCTGCACAAGGCAAAAAAGCAGAGACGAGTGAGCTCTGACCACGGTGTAGACTGGGCTGGTAGAAGACCGCTAGCTGATACGGCATTCTGAATTTCTGCTGCAGCTTGTCGGGTGCCTCGTCCACTTTCGTCCCCTCTAGCGTTGTGCCCTGTGGCGTGTGAATCCTTGCTTCCACTTTGGGGCCCACGAGATTGGTCGCCTTGGCCGTCACCGCGTCCAAAACGTCGTCGACTAAAGATGCAGCATAGTGAGCAAGTGTAGCCGGACAAAATTTTGGTAGCTTAAATTATATGGCAAAACTATGTTACTTATAGAACTTGAAAGCGTTACCCAGCAACTTCGAATTACTTCGACGAAATACATAAGAAAGCGACTTGCGCAATAGGTAAGTGTATGTTCATCGTAAACCGCAGAGGATCTTTAAAGCATGTAACTAGCAGCACAATGTTGACGAGTCGCTGCTGACTAATAGTAGATTGGACGTCATACAACTAAACTACCTTTGGGTCTTTTGTGGACTGTTCGTGCAGACTAGTTTTCAGACATAAGTAATTTTACTTCACAGCTTGCAACATGCACTTCCAATGGCAGATGCAAGGCGTACTTATGATACTTGATGCTGTTTTGCATTGATTTTTTTCTGCGGAAATCTAAATAGCTGAATCTTCTTCATTCGTATCTGTGCTACGCAGCGACAGGTTGCATTTGACAAGTAGTCTCGAAAGTTGTCAGTTCCAATAAATTCTGTTGTGTATGCCTGTTTAAAAGAAAGAGAAGTTGCCCATCATTTGCACACACATGAGGACACATACACCTTCCCAACAAAAGTTTACATTGTGCTAAAATGTTCGTCGCTCCATACTACATTAAATACACGAGTGTCTCGATTGGCTGTCAGTTGATTGTGCGAAAGAACCCTTCGGTATCTTGTAGTTCTAGTAATCTTGCCCAGTAAGGACGTTTGCTACACAATCTTTATTCCGCTAATCCAACAGAAGAGACGAAATCGTAAACGGGTTTGCTATAAAAAGTGGGGAGGGGGAGATACAAAGGTTAGGGGAATAGTGTCGTTTAGTCATAAATGCTTGTTAAATTCACACCCTTCTGAGGCTCTTAGGGGTGGTTTCGTGTGAGGCGCGACTACCATTTAAAATAATATTATGCTATGCAAATGGTTACATAAACGTCGGATGCGACGTACACGACCAGAGAAACCGGAAAGGGATAAAAGCTGCGTCTGAAGTAGTCCGCGGGCAGGATGGGTGGGAGAGGGAGAGTAAACTCCTAGTCGAGACGACACTAAATATGAGCTTATTCACGGGCGGCCAGAAACACTGCAATCACCCAACAAATCCATTAAACTGACACTGGCCTTCCTACGACACTTACCAATGGGAACCGCGCCCCTCTTGCGGAGAGACGAGAGTAAGCCCGGGTCCGGTCGTGCTTTGAGGGCACCAACTGCCACCAACGCATAACAACTTTGCATTAGGTTAAGGTATCTTGTTTTGCTTCAATTACTGCACTTACTTATACACTAACCCCGATCACCACTGCGTTACGAAAGACTAACAAACCGATTTATCTGTTTGAAGGAGTCGGTTGACGAACTATCAGGTGCACCAACGCGTCCTGGATATGAAAGACTCCGTTAAACGTTCTTCGCTACTATGAACATTTACCATCCGTACATGTTATCTATATTTCTCATTCTGTCAGTAACTACCAACCGCCTTCTGTTGGGGAAGTAGTCGAAATAAGTTGGGGTGACGCTCGATAAAACGTACGTGGGGATCGCTCTAATACACTTAGAAGTTGGAATGTTATATATGGCTTGCGGGTAATTCACGTTCGGCAAGATTCAGTACCAAAAACGGGCGGGGCAAGAATGAGCGAAAGGCGGCAACCCCCCACGTATTTTTTTCGGCAATAGGGTCCGAGGAGGCCAAACCCTCGCCAAGTATCGCCTTCTAGCCCCGCCACAAACCCCTCCAGCCCCGTGGGACAGAAGGCGCTGGCCGGGGCTACCACTGGCAGGGTTACGTACTATAAGCACATTTTCTGTTGGTGGCTTCTTTCTTCTCGCCGACAGTGGGACTGGGGCCTGATTGTTGTGGGGCCCTAATTAAGCCACGCCCACTGACCTAGTCGCCCAAAATAAGTTAACCGGAATCTATGCAGTACTTTTTTGAGGATTTTGGCCCCAGTACCATGAAGAACATCAATGACTACAATAGACTGGTGGCAGCGAAAGACAGCAAGGATGAAGTCCTAGTAGCAATTTCGAGCCATATAGATCAAGTATAATTTACTGAAATACACTAATTTAAAGAATGGCGGAAGAACCCCCTTCGCTGTTAACTGGCCTATGCGAAAGGTAGAGGTTTAAGCGAGCCCGTGGTGTGGTTGGTTGTCCTCGTCGACGTCGTCCGACACTTATGATTCCAATTCATCAACTTCTACGTTTAAGTCCCCTTGCGTCTCAATCCACGAAGACGGTCTGTCGATGCAGAATGTCCCAGAAAACGGGTCGGACGTACGTGAAACTTTCCGCCGCGCGTTCATTCGAACAATGTTTTGAAGATATTGAGGCCGTTATGGCGGATCCCCCATCGTACCCACGAACTCTGTTAGGCACGACAAACTTTTCTGCACCGGTAACGGCAATGGGCAGTGGTGAGTACGTTCATTTAGGTCTGGGAAGTCATCTAAATGACCAGCTGCGAACTGCCTCTCTGTGTTGTCGATCAGATGAAATAGTTGTACGCCTAGCAATTTATGGGCTTCACATCCATAGGAAAACTAAGCGTGAGTTCTAGCCTATTCTAAGTAGCTATGGGGCACATCGTAAGTGTAGTTTTTCCCGTAGGAATATATTGCAGGGTCGACAAGCCTTCGGACGTGCGAGTGTTCTGCAAAACACTGGTTGGTAAGTTATCACCACTGGCCAATGGTGGTTTGCGTGTCGATGCAATTGACAGAACCCTGGACATCCATTTAGCTTCTATCATATGCGATGCCCCAGTTTAAGACTTTAATAAACAAAGTAGGAATGTTAATGCGTACTACGGATTGAGAGGTGCTGCGTTAAGGGAGAGTACGTAAACCAAAACGAACAAAAGGCCACAACTGGGGCCCTACGTCTAGATGTCCAACACCTGACGGCATCACCAATACCACCGGCAGTCGATGAGGGTCCAGTTTTGCAACAAATAAGTACGTTGCCGTCCTTTGATCAACTGTCGGCGGCATTGTCGGACGCAGCATACAGGTAGATTGTTTCTTTTATATAAACACCAGGCACAGGTGTCATACCTGTATTCGATGGGTGGTGAGGGTATAGAAGTATTCGCCTCACGCATTTCCTTTGCCCTCTTCACAGAGGATGCGGCGAAGTCCCTAACATTCCACGAGAGGAGTCTCCTGAACCGGGCCTTACTCGGTTCCCTCATCTACGATGTCATCCTGGGCAAGATCTCTGCCTTGTGTACTTAATACAATTTCATTTCAGATGCGCTTATGCACAGGGCATCCATTGTGCCACCTGTGTTGTAGACATTGTCGTATTTACAAAATCAGGAGACTTCAACAAATCAGCTATTGTTTTGTGAATTAATTCATGCGTTTGGAGTACATGTCCGACAGAATGAGGTCGGGATGCACTATCATACTAGTGGTTTGTGTTGATACTATCTTAACTGCGTGCAAGGTGTTAGCAGGAGAGGGGCACAGAGTCTGCGCAAATGATATCCTTATGCTAAACACAGGTACCGCATTTGCTAAGTCCACTCGGGAACTGAAACACATGTGTGGGGTGGAAACACAGGTTATATTCTAACTTGGCGGAACAATGAGGAATGCTATTTAAACAATATGTAACGTTTAGTTAGCTTCCACCAATAGGGAAATGGGAGTTCCGTGGTTAAAATCAGAATGGTAAAACAGCAAATTCACATGTCCTTGATTTGTAAATGGCCTACAACGTGCAGTCACAGGAATTATGTAAGACAACATTCAGATGAGGGACAAACAGACGTAGATGTATGTTCGGGCGTGAAGACGAGGAAATCAAATTATAGGCTATGACAGAACAGACCTTTTTCCCATGCTGCGTAGAAAATTTGCAAAACCGTTTGAACCACGTCAAAACACGACTTGGTCGCGAAGACCGACTTGCGTACCATGTGCGCAGATCCACACTTTATACTTATTCTGTCGACCTAAGCCTGGTAAAACCGCAAGTTTTCCTTATCATACCATAGGACAGCTACAAGTCATTGTTCCGCACTCCCATGAAATGTACAGCCTTTTTATCTCTCAGAGGCCAGACAGCACCATCAAAACAAAGTTAATATTTGGCTGAGTGGTTTAATATAGACAGCATGGACAGTAATACTCTGTCCCTGCAGCACATGGGCCCACACTCGATGAGACTGAGATAAGGCTACGTGGTATTGAAGCTTGTTTCACGAAATTTTAGAGACATAGTAATGAGCACGTGCCTGCAGTTTGTTGCTGAGCGAGGAAAGTCTATTAAATATAAAGAATCAACATTTCCAAGTAAAATCATTTATCATGCCTACTTCAGTTGACCTGGATTGCTGAATGATTATAATCCTTTGTAGGTTTACGTGCATTTTCGATTTTTCATTTTAAACTTTCTGTACACCTGAACGTTTCTATACGGTTGTTTAAATTTGATAAAAATGCACACTTGGTTTCGGCTCGAGAAAATAAAGCGTGATTTTTGTGTCCGCCTACTCCTTGGTGTCATTGTTTCGTTGATTCCACTCATTCGCTTCAATCGCTTTTAGTCAATCGACACGAAACATTTAGATCTTTCGGTCATATTATCTGGACGTAAATTCACCTGGGCGACAAGCTTCACTAACAGACTTCGTCCTGGGATTTTACCCAGAACATTCTCTCTACGTCCAATGATTCTGGAGAGGGCTTTATTTTTCGTGAGTCTATTCAATTTTTTACCTTTTTGTCGTTTTTCTTATACTCTTTTTGCTATCGTTATTTTTCTTGTAAGAAACGCAGCATCCCCCACTTAGAGTTAAGAATCTATTATCCTTTTTAGTTTTAATTACTGTTTACACTACAAGAGTGGTGTCACCGTTTTTCTATATCTAATTCAATTCAGTTCAGTTATTTTTATTAAAGACCCGTCGGGGTCCCATCAAAGCAAGTAAAAATAAATTTACAAGCGAATTTTAGACGAGGTAGGCAAAATCTGTACAAAGTGCAATACATAGTTTTTGAGATTAGAAGTCCGTTAAGCAAAATGTAAATGAAAAAAAAACGAGGGGTTAAAAAAAACTCCAAAGCAAAATTTAAAAATGATTGTAGTAATTTAACAGGAGAAAAAAAAACATCTTTATTACATCTTTATTACTATCTTTATTACTGTGACTGATAACAAACCCAAAACAGTCTCTCTCAAATTCACTATCCTCTCCTTCAAACTATCCCCTTTTCCACCGATCAACCGCTGGGTTTGGTTTCGTCAGATTGAAGCGGCTTTCTCAATGAGCCGCATTACTAGCGAACGCACCCGATATTCCTCCGCGGTACAGAATCTTCCCTTCGACGTCGCCGACGATCCCGACGACCTCCTCGACCTGATTCCTGCCAACGACCCGTGCACTCAGTTAAAGAATGCCCTCATCCAGAAAGTGATTAAGTCGGCCAATCGGATGCTACGGGAGTTATTCGCGCAGGTAGAACTGGGTGATCAAGCTCCTTTGTATCTTATGCGCCAGATGCATTACTTGCTGGCCGGTTGTCATATGGACGACTCCATTTTTCAACAAATATGGTTGGATAGGTTGCCGATTCCCATGCAACAGGTTTTGGCCATGCTGGACATCAGCATCTCTCTAGACATAATGGTCAACCATGCCGACAGGATCAGCGAATGTTACCCAGTCGGCGCGACATGCGCCAATATTCAACTTACCTCGGCATCCAATAAGTCTGATAGAGAAGCCATTCCCCGTCCTGAAGGCACTCCTTCGCTAGAACGCGAAACTTCTCGTGTGGAGCGGTCATACTGTCGTTGCTCATCATGCAGAGCCACCACGCCATCAGGTCACTCAAGACAACCGAACAGTCCTCACCGGGGCGACTATGACGCCCCAAAAGGTACTGTTTGTCTTTTATGCACTCGACTTTTGCATTCAGAAAAGCTCCCACAAATTTTGGGTGCTGAATCTACTGATCGACTGTACCGTAGCGATGGCGTTTGTGGTTTCTGAACACTATGGCCGGTCTCACCAGCTGTTCCTCACCGCCTCTACTTTGACTATGCCCAACTTCATGAAAGGAATTTGACGTCCGATGATCTCCGATACCGTGCAACCTCCTCCCATCTTGACGGTCGATGTTCTCCCGCCGCCGGCAGTTTTTTCTCCTGAGCCCTCCAAACCACAATAAACACCATCAACTATATTTTTATCCCTTAAGCTCAGGAGTTTTTTTCACTGCCGGTCGGATTTATGTTTAATCGCTCCCCTCGACAATGCCTGTAAACTGGCATTAAATAAAAATTTATTTATTTATTTATTTAGGTGCACTGCAATAAGTAGCTTACAGTCGGCCAGAAACAAATCACCCTCGCGCCGTCGTTCTTAATCCCATGAACGTCCCTCTAAAACTCTATGCTGTTATCATCGTAGTTGCGGTCTGAAAGAACGCAAGTGCATTCCTCCCTGCACATACGTGCAGGCATCGCTACAGGGAAACGACCGCGCCAGCCACTAACAGCGACAGCTGCCACTGCCCAGTCACGACCCAGTCGCCTCTTTTATATTTAGTTTAATTTAATTATTTTTATTAAAGACCCGTTGGGGTCCCATCAAAGCAAGTAAAAATAAACTTACATGCGAATTTTAGACGAGGTAGGCAAAATTTCTACAAAGTGCAATATATAGTTTTTGAGATTAGAAGTCCGTTAAGAAAAATGATAAGCGAGGGTGAAAAAAACTCCATTTGAAAATTTAAAAATGATTGGATTAATTTTTCAGGAGAAAAAAAAACTCGAAAAAATAGAGTCAGAAAAATGCGGGCAAGACTGGCCTGCATGTGACGGTATAGAATGGATTATAGTCGGACATCAACAGGGCCGAAATAACTGTCAGCTGTATATGGCATTGTATAACGGATTTCATAAAGGAGTAAGTAGGCGGGTCGGTCAGGACTGGCCTGTATGTGGCCTTGAACAAGGCAAATAAGTGGCGAAATTGAAAACCAGTCTCGAGCTGATAGGAACCCAGATGCGGTCAGTTACATTCATCCGAGGATGGGGCAAGGGAGATGCGACCAGACTACTAGTATATGGCGAATATAGAAGGTTTCGCCAAGAGCGTCGATGGAGCGCATTCTGTGAGGGCACGATGAAAACCAGTCTCAGTGACAAGTCGAGCAGCCTCCGTTTTCTTGTCGATACTGGTGCCGAGATCAGTGTCATCCCGTCTCCTAGGCGCCACCATCTCAATCCTTCGCAGTTTCCATTTCAGGTTGCCAGTAGCATTACCATCAACGCTTACGGCCAACGGTCGCTCACACTTGACATCCGTCTTCGGCGACGTTTCCAGTGGGTCTTTGTGCAGGCCGACGTTAAATCTCCCGTTATTGAGGCAGATTTCCTTACACATTTTGGCCTTACAGTCGACCTCAGACAGTGCAAACTTGTCGATACCACAACCACACTCTTTATCGTTGGCACTGCAGCCTCTGAACCATCGGCTAGCATCCAGTTGACCGTACCAAGCTCGCCTTTCGCTGACATTTTGAAGGGCTATTCGTCCCTCACTAAGCCCTGTCAGTTTACCGGGAGGTTCAGAATATGGTCAAACACCAAATCATCACCACGGGGCAACCTGTTCACGCTCATCCTCGCCTTTTCACCCCGAAAAACTCCGGATAGCGAGGAATGAATTTGAGAATATGATGAATCTTGGAATTATTCGTCCTTTCTCCAGCCCATGGGCTTCTCCCCTCCACATGTTGCCCAAGGAATCGACTGATGATTGGAGACCATGCGGCGACTATCGCGTTCTCAAGAAAGCCACTGTTCCCGACCGATATCATATTCCCCATATTCATGATTTCTCTCACACGCTAGCTGGAAAAACTATTTTTTTTCAAAATAGTCCTCGTGAGAGCATACCACCATATTCCGGTCGCGGATGAAGACATCCCCAGGACCACCGTCACAACGCCTTTCCGCCTGTTCGAATTTCTTCGCATGCCTTTTGGGTTGCGCAACGCGGCCCAGTCCTTCCAACGCCTCATCGATGATGTCTTGCGAGGTCTCTCATTCACTTATGTCTGCATTGACGGCATACTCGTCGCAAGTTCTTCGGCAGAAGAACATGTCTCGCACTTACACCAGATATTTGACCGTTCCCGGCAATATGGTCTGCAATTTAACGTCGACAAATGCATCTTTGGAGTCGCTTTTCTCAATTAACTTGGTCACCACGTCGACCAGCATGGAATCACCGCTGCTAGAGAAGGAGGGGAGCATCGTGTCATTCCCTGTCCCCAACACTCTAAATCAGCTGCGGCGTTTCATGGGCCTTATCAACTATTATCGACGTCTTACTCCTCACTGTACGGCCATCCTAGCTCCCTTAACTGACCTTCTGAAGTCTAAAGCAAAGCCGATTAATAATAAAAATCGTATTTATTCAAGACCCGTGGGGGTCCTATCATAGTAAGTAAGAATGACTTTTACATTAATTTTGGAATTTTAGACGAGGTATACAGAATTATTAGAGTACTTAATTCATAGTTTTTAAATAAGTAGCATGTTAAGAAGAATGTTTAGCAAGCAGTATTGAACTATCTTTGGCAGCCCACTCAGCTCTAAAGACAGCTAAGGAAGCTCTTGCCGATGCCACGTTGCTTCACCATCTCAGCTCCGACCCTCACGCACAGATGATCATGACCACTGATGCTTCGAACAGTGCTGTTCGCGCAGTCCTGCATCAACAGGTGAATAACCAGATGTAGCCATTGGCTTTCTTTTCGCAGAAGCTACAATCACTGGGGATTTTAACCTTCCTGAAATAAACTGGGCTTCCAATAGCTGTCCACCTAGATTCCAGCACTTTCAAGATATTGTAAATTTTTCTAACTGGTCCCATCTGGTGCGCTCTCCAACAAGAGAAAATCGCATTTTAGATCTAATCTTTACCAATGATATTGCTCCTCTTTTGTTGCTTTCAAAAAGGACCTCTTTGATAGTGACCACGTATTAATTCACTGTTGCTTACCGCTTGCCTTTTCAAAAAGGACCAGCACCGTTCGGACTTACATAGACTACGATTGCGTAGATAATGACTTAATAAATAACTATATTAGATCTCTGGATTGGTGTGGCTTCCTCTCCTGTAGAGATGCAACCATTCTTCGTGACGTCATTTCCAATGTTTCCAAGGACATTCTAGAGTTTGTGCCGCTTAGATATCTCAAGCCTAATTCTTCAGATTCCCTTGTTTCTCATTTTCTTCACAACAGACTAAAAATGTTGAGACGGCAGCTGCGTGACCCATCCACTAGTTCCTTATCAGTTCATCTTAGAATTACAGAGATATTTGAGATGGCCTCAAGAATGCGCCAAGCGCGCGACAGGCAAAGAGAATCACTTGTCCTCAGTGATTCAAACCCTGACAACTCCGTCGCTAACATCTTCCGCCATCGGTCCTCCTCTAAGCGTGATCACCATCTTCCACCCCTGCTAAATGATAACAAAGTCTTCCTCATCGATGACACTGACAAGGCGGAGTTGCTTAGTGCTTTCTTTGCAAAACACCTTAATACTGAGTCCGAACCTGTCCCTTTCTTTTGCTCACTTTCAGATAGGACACTGAGTACAATCGACGTCTCCTCAGATCTCATTAAGAAACAGGTAAGTCGTTTGAAACATTCACACTGCTCAGGAACGGACGGGATTCCAAATTCGATTATTAAACATGCATCCGACCTTCCCATATTGCTTAGTCATTTATTCTCGGTTTATGTTCAGCGAATATTCCCATGTTACAATTGAAAAGTCAAATTGGCTAACACGCGTTTTCGGTAATTCTTCGTCAGGCCAATAAAATTCCATGAAGGAGTGAAAGTGTACAAAGTTAACAGTGTTTATAGGTGTCGCAATGGCAATTTAGTTATTAACACTCATCTTCCCCACGCCGCCCGCATGACGAGGTCGGCGGGTTTTGGTCCTTAGAGCTGGGGGAGGGGAGTAAGCGAGTATTTGAGTGATGTTCTTGGATTGAGTACACGGAGTACACATCACTGTAATCAGGGATTTGAGGCGGCATGTCGTCATCACGTGAGGTTGGCGTTGGCCACGGCAGAGAGAGCGCTTGTGTTATGGTTTTCTGGCAGCATGGCACCGGATTCGCCAGCCGTGTAGCCACCGCCTCGGTCGTTGCTAGTATCCGTTGGCGTAGGCCTTTAGAGAAGCTTGTTGGTTTTCGATAGACAACCTGAAATGCTACCTTGGTATCGACTCGATGATCCGTATCGATCAAATGTGCGAGAATAGAGCTCGAAACCGATCGGGTGTCACCTCTGTCTAGCCAGGCGGGCATATGTTCACGCACCCTCTTTACCAGGCGTCTCGTTGTACGGCCGATGTATCCCGCTACACAGGAGCAAGTGAATGAGTAGATGCACACTGATGTGGCCTAAAACGGTAGTCTGCCTTTACCTGTCAAACGTAGGAGGGGAGAGTTTGTGAAACATACGCGTTAATTCGCCGCGGGGAATGCTCTCGTGACAGCTGTAGTTAAGCGCCGTCTGACTATTTGATCGCTGCGTCCCCTGCAAAAGACATTCTCATTTTATTTTTGAAAAGGATTCTTTCCTGAAACATGGAAAACGTCAATTATCATTCCCATCTTCAAGTCTGGATCTCGGTCTGATGTTAATAACTATCGGGCGTGCACTAAACGCCGTCTGTAGCAAAGCTTCTTGAAAGGATTATTTTCAATAAAAATCTTGACTTCTTTCTAGCTAATCGGCTTCTGAGATCTAGTCAGCATGGATTTTTACCTAAGCAATCCTGCAAAAATTGCCAATTGGCATTTCTTAATCTAATCACTTCTCTTCGTTCAAAGGAGACTGACAGCGCCGAAGATGTGCTATAATAATAAACCTATTCTGTTCGTAATGAGCAGCAGTCAGTGGTAGTTATCTACTTTGATCTTAGCGAAGCATTTGACAAGGTGCCCCAGAGACGTCTTTTAGTAAAATTGGAAGCTCTCGGCATCCGGCCGACTCTACTCGACTTCATCTGGTCCTATCTATCCAACCGATATCAAAAAGTCATAATCGGTAATAGCTACTCGACACCTCACTTGATCACGAGTGGCGTACTTTAAGGAACGGTTCTGGGTCCGCAACCCTTCCTTATTTACATTTTCAGTATAATTCAGTATATATGAGGGATAGAGACAGAGCCTTTGAAAACCCTATTTACAGATAGACGTATGAAAAAACATGCAGATATTTACATGGCATCTATGCCATTCATTACTATCATGTAAATGTTTGATCATCAAGCATAAATTT